TGAAGCCCCCAAATATATTTTGAACCACAAGGTCGGCAGTTCAAACTCATCAGTCACTCCTTGGAAACCCTATACAGGGTCGTTATGAGTTAGAACTGACTCAGTGGCACTTAACAACAACACATATATCATACATGAATTACATGTATGTATCGCATACACATATATAAACAAAAACCAATTTCATGAAATAATACTTGCCTTATGTGTGATGGAACTCATTTTGTATTCATTTTCATTTAAAAACTTTGTAATTATGCGAAATGAAATAACTAGTTTCAACAAAAGCTCATAAGTGTTTTCTAGCAGTTAGGGCGAGGGTTATGTAAGGAGGTATGGAATTCTATTTGGGGTGAGGGCACGTCTGGGAAAAGTGATGATGATCACACAACATGGTGAATGTAGTTATTGTCATTGAATTGTACTCTTAAAAGTGGCTAAAATGGCAGCTTTTTGTTTTGTATACTATTTTACCACAATAAACTTTGTTTTTCTTGATTTACATGTTGACTTTAGAACGCACCTGCATTTGTGACCCAGAGTTTGAAAAGCACTGCCACAGATTGTCTGTCACCACAGTAGATATGTATTACTGTATTACTGATCTGTATCACTCTCTACTCGCCCGCAGAACCTCGTATGACATACCTGGGGCATAGAAGACACTCAGTAGAAATTCACTGCATAAGTTAAAAGAATGAACAGCTTTAAAAGATAGTGTTTTAAAAGTTTTATTATCCCTATTTTTATCAACAAAAAAACTGAAGTTTAGAAATACTTAGTCACATCCTCAAAACCATAAAGTTAATATTAGGCAAGACCAGGATTCAGATTCAGGTTTGCTGATTTCCTTTTGTGCGAGAATTAAAAGGAGAAAATATATAGATTGCATATGGGAGGTGGAAGTTGATCATTATTTCCTATCATAAAATTAAAAATAATTAACCCACATTTGAGATCAATACTATGGAACACTGAAAAATAACTGATACTTTAATTCAAACAGAACAAGGGGATACTGAATGGTTTAAAATGAGGAAAACTATACATCAGAATTGTAGCCTTTCACTATACTTATTTAATTTATAAGCTTTGCATATACAAGAAGCTGGACTCTGTGACGAAGAAGGTGGTATCAGGATTGGAGGAATACTTATAACAATATGCTATATGCAAATGGCAGACTGTAAAGCCATTTGAACTACAAAGTCAGTGGTTCAAGCTCACCAGATGCTCTGTGGAAACATTATACAGGATCGCTATGGGTCGGAACCGACTCAAAGGCACTTCACAACAACAACACAACATGTACAGATGACACAAACTTTCTTTGCTGAAAGCGAAGAGGACTTGAAATACACACTAATGAAGATCAAAGACTACAGCCTTCAGTATGGGTTGCACCTCAATGTAAAGAAAACAAAAATCCTCACAACTGTTCCAATAATTAGCATCATGACAAATGGAGAAGATTGAAGTTATCAAAAACTTCATTTGCTTGGATACACAATTAACACTCACAACATATTACATTAGGCAAATCTACATAAAATCTCTTTAAAGTGGTCAAGAACAAAGATATCAGTTTGAGGACTAAGGTACGCTAATCCAAGCCATGTTTTTTTTTTTCAGTAACCTCATAAGCATATGAAAGATAAGTAAGGTAAACTAGAAGAATTGATGATTTTGGAGAAGAATATTAAAAGTACCATGGACTGCCAGATGAACAAACAAATCTGTGTTAGAAGAAATACAGTTAGAATATTTCTTAGAAACAGGAAAGACGAGACTTCATCTCTCATACTTTGGACATGTTGTCCGGAGGGACCAATCCCTGGAAAAGCAAAAAGGAGGAAGAACTCCAACAAGATGGATTGACACAGTGGCAGCAGCAATGGGCTCACACAGAACAACAATTGTGAGGATGGTGCAGATCAGGCAGTGTTTCATTCTGTTTTGCGCAAGGTCACTATGTGTCAAAACTGACTCAAATGCACTTTAACAACAACATAAGAAGAAGAAAACTCATGATGTGTTTAAAATACTACAAAAATAGTGGGAGAATAGATGAAACAAAATTGGAAAAATGTTCATCATTGTTGAAACAATAACTTCTATATATGCCTTAAATTGGTAGTATAGTGGTTACAAATTGTATTCCTAACCAGAAAGTCGGCAATTCAAATCTATCATCCACTCTGCTGGAGAGAGATGACGTTTTTCTGCTCCTGAGAAGATTTGCAGCCTTGGAAACCCAATACAGGGTCACTATGAATCAAAAACTGACTTGATGGCGCACCACCATCAGCAATTTAAAAACAGAAAAACCCTAAAAGTGGCATATTAAAATAGCATTGGAAGAAAATTCTTCTAGTTTTTTTTTTTTTGTTTTTTTTTTTTAACGAATGCACATTAATTATACAATGTTGTTGTTGTTCAATGTCATTGAGTAATAGGATTCTAAAAATCTCAGGTAAGCTACAAGAACAAGATACTACATTTAGTACACAGAAGGGATCCAGTGTTAAATCCTTGTCCCTCTCCGCATCTGATTAACCAAGTCATCTGTGTAAAAAAGTGTTTCATAAATTGTGGATACACCTTTAGAAAATTTTTGTTTGTTAAGTGCCACCGAGTCAGTTCTGACTCATAGTGACCCTGTACAAAGCTTCTGAGAAGCAGTTGAGGAGTTTGAACATCTGACCTTGGGGTTTGCAATCTGGTGCAGATCCTACAGTGCCACAAATTACTGCTTTGTAGTTACATAACAAAACCATGAATTCCATGTGTTCTTTTAAAAGGAGGGAAAAAATATTTTTATTATTGGTCATTATAATACAAATATAATTTAGATATTAATATTGTTGTTATTAAGTGCCGTCAAGCCGGTTCTGACCCATAGTGACTCTGGGTAGGGTTTCTGAAGAGGGGCTGGTAAGCTTGAACCACCAACCTTGCCGTTCAAACAGACTTTGCAATCCAGTACATTAACCCACTGTGCCACACCAGTACTCCAAATATTCATATAGCTGTTAAGTGTCCTCGAGTTGGTTGTGTCTCATAGCAACCCTGTTTAGGGTTTCCAAGGCTGTGCTGGATCAGAAAGCCTCATCTTTCTCCCATGGAGCAGCTAGTGGGCTCAAACCACCAACTTTATGGTTAGAACTCCTGCAGAGTCACCACACTCCCCCAAATATTCACATAGGTGGTGCTGTAGACTCAGTTCTTGCTGTATACAGCTGATACAGAGGTCATGATCAGATTATTAAAACTCAGTAGTTAAGCATTGCCTTGCCATATCAGAACTCTAGAAAGTCTTTTAGTACCAGGAATATTTTTCTATCTAACATCACTATTTAAGAAAAAGAAAACAGCTGCCATCAAATCAATTCTGACTCATGACAACTCTATATTTGTCAGAGGTCAAAGTAGAAACCGTGCTCAGCAGGGTTTTCAATGGCTGATTTTTCCAGAACTAGATTATCAGAACTTCATACTAAGACACTTCTAAGTGGACTCAAACCTCCACTTTCATTTAGCAGCTGGGAATGTGAACTGTTGGCACCACCCAAGTACTAGCCATTACTGTCTTATGAGTAAAAATAAAATAATTAGGATTGAATACAAAGTTTTTTCTGTCCCAGTTCTGAATGCGTTTCTTCCAATTTCAAAATAAATACTTTTACTTATGTCTTCTGACTCAGTTTGTGCTCCATTATAAAAAATAAAATACTGTGTTTTGAATTCAGATACTGAGTTTTAGTCCTCACTCTACCACAACCTGAACTTGTTCAAGGCACATAACCTTTTCTACCAGAGTTCCAGTATTCTGTAACTCATTTCCTTCAACTGTCACATGAAGAAAGGACTAGCTGTTCTTCCTACAACGTTGGGTTATTATGAAGATCAGATTGGGTGGTAAAGTATGAAACAAGTACAATTTTTATAGAAAATCAGAGAAATCTTTTATTTACATATAGTTTTATATGTATGTATATAGTGATATATATATATATATGTCCACATATACATTTTATTCATGTACACTTGGATAAGGAGGTAATTATTTATAAGGCTAGGCTAAGCTAACTTTATATTGTTGTTAGTAAGTGCTGTTGAGTTGGTTCTGACTCATAGCAACCCTATATAGAGTTTCTGAGGAGTAGCTGGTGAGTTTGAACTGTCAATCTTGCAGTTCTAATAAACCTTGCGGTCCAGTGCTTATCCTACAATGTTATACCAGGACTCTAACTTCCAATTAGAAATGCACAAATGTGAAAATGATGGGGTGACAGGAAGACCATCTCCAGTGACACCAAGAATGGGCACTTAGGATCACTTCTGTTGGTAGTTATGAATTATGAATACCAAAGGTCAAACTGGTAATAGCAAAACCATTGTCTGATATAAGAGAACACAAAAGTATTCCATTTTTCTGAAGCCTTACAAGATAATTTGAATCATAGTTTAGAATTCCAATAATGAGTTTTTGTTCCTTGGTATTGGGCCATGCTGATGTTTGTTCTTGGTTCTGTCCCATCTCATAGCTGCTGATGGCCCAGGAGACCGTTTCATCATTGGGGAATCCCAAGCTGGTGAACAGGTAAGATATATAGGTCCTTTGTTGTTGTTGTTGTTAAGTGCCGTTGAGTCGGTTCTGACCCATAGCGACCCTGAACAGGGTTTACAAGGCTGTAAATCTTTATGGGAGCAGAAAGCCTCATCTTTCTCCTGCGGAGCAGCTGGTAGTTTTGAACTACTGAACTTTCGGTTCGCAGTCCGATTCGTAACCACTACGCTACCAGAGCTCCTTTGGTCCTTTAGGTCTAACTAAAGATTTAAGGTTCATGGACTTTTACCATCTAATTCTAAACCTCTCCTATCAGTAAATATTTTAGAAAAGGGCTCTAGTTGTTCTTAAGTACCATCGCGTCAGTTCCAACTCAAGCGACCATATGTAGGGTTTCCAAAGAGCGGCAGCTGGGTTTGAACTGCCAATGTTATGGTTAACAGTCAAGTGCCACACCACAACTCCAGAAAAGGATTGAATGGCAGATTATCAAAGAGACTAAAAGGATAATTCTTATTGTCATTTCTTTATATAAAGAATCTGTATCTACTGATAGATGTCTTACAGATGTGTCCCACTAGCATTTACCACTCGTAGGATAAGTGATTCTTTTTGCATAAGCATCGGTGTTCTAATTAGAACTACAGTTTCTAGATGGCCTTTTCAGATTTATCCCAATTTATGTTGCAAACAGGGAAATTTAGAAGGAAATTTAGCTCGTCATTGCTTGCCAGTAGTTTTGGTCTGTAAACCATATCATGTCAAAAAAAACCTTTTGAATTCATTTATCACCAGAAATAGTTTTGAAGGCAGCTGCCTTGAAGTCAGTTCCAACTCATAGCAACTCTGTGTGTGTCAAACTGCAACTGTGTTCTATGGTAACCACAAAATAGCAGATATTCAAGAAGTACTTTCCTGATTGTCGAGTACACTTGTTGTATGTACCAGGAACTGTGCAAGGTTCTGGGAATATAAAATAAATTAAGATGGTGATTACTTCTAAGAAATTTACACTTAGTAGAGGAGCTAGTATAAACAACTGAATATAGTGTTGTTATTAGGTGCCATCAAGTCGGTTCTGACTCCTAATAAATAACCCCATGCACAACAGAACAAAACACTGCCGTGTCCTGTACCATCTTTACAATTGTTACATTCCAGCCTATTGCTGCTGCCACTCTGTCAATCTATCTTGTTGGAGGTCTTCCTCTTTTTCCTGATCCTCTACTTTACAAAGCATGAGGTCCTTCTCCAACCTGATAACATGTCTAAAATATGAGAGACGAAGTCTGATTATCCTGACTTCTAAGGAGTCATCTGGCAGTACTTCTTCCAACACAGATTCTGGAAGTCCATGGTACTTTTAATATTCTTATCCAACACCATAATTCAAATGCATCAGTTCGTCTTATGGTCTTCCTTAGTCATTGTCCAACTTACATATACATATGAGACTATTGAAAATACCATGGCTTGGATCAGGCGTACGTTAGTCCTCAAACTGACATCTTTGTTCTTGAACACTTTAAAGAGGTCGTGTATAGAGGATTTACCTAATGCAATATGTCATTTGATTTCTTGACTGCTGCTTCCATGAGTGTCCAAGCAAAATGAAGTCTTTAACAACTTCAATTTTTTCTCCATTTATCTTGATGTTATTTATTGGTTCGGTTGTGAGGATTTTAGCTTTCTTCACATTAAATTGTAATCCATACTAAAGACTGTCGTCTTTGATCTTCATCAGTAAATATTTTAAGTCATCTTTACTTTCAGCAAGGAAGGTTGTATCATCTGCATATCGCAAGTTGTTAATGAGTCTTCCTCCAATCCTGATGCCATGTTCTTCTTCATATAATCGAGCTTCTCAGATTATTTGCTCTGCATGCAGAATAAATAAGTATGGTAAAAGATGCAACCTTGGTACACACCTTTACTGACTTTAAACCATTCAGTGCCCCCTTATTCTGTTCAAGCAACTGCCTCTTGGACTATGTACAAGTACTTTATGAGCACAAATAAGCATTCTGGAATACCCATTCTTTACAATGTTATCCATAACTTGTCACGGTGCACAGTCGAAACCCTTTGCATAGTTAATAAAGAACAAGTAAATACCTTTCTGGAATTCTCTGCTTTCAGTAAAGATCCACCTGACATTCGCAGTGATATCCCCTCATTCTGTGTCCTCTTTTAAATCCGCCTTGAATTTCTGGCAGTTCCCTGCCAATGTACTATTGCAACTGTTTTGAATTCTCTTCAGCAAAATTTTATTTGCATGTGTTACTAATGATATTACTCAGTCATTTCTTCATTCCACTGGTCACCTCTCTTTGGAATGGGCATATATATGGATCTCTTCCAGTGTTTTGACGAGGTAGCTGCCTTCTAAATTTCTTGGCATAGATGAGTGAGTGAGGCATTAGTTTGTTGAAAAATTTCTATTTATATTTCATTAATTCCTGGAGCCTTGTTTTTTGCCAGTGCCTTCAGTGGAACTTGGACTTCTTCATTCAGTAGCATCAGTTCTTGATCATATGCTACCTCTTGAAATGGTTGAACATGTTATTCTTGTTGTTAGGTGCAATCAAGTCAGTTCTAACTCATAACAACCCTATGCACAACGAGCAAAACACTGACCTATCCTGTGCCATCCTCACATTCATTGTTATGCTTGAACCCATTGTTGCTGCCACTATGTGAATCCATCTATCTGGGGTTCTTCCTCTTTTTCACTGTCCCTCCGACTTACCAAGCATGATGTCCTTTTCCAAGGATTGGCACCTTCTGATAATGTGTCGGAAATATGAAAGGTGAAATCTCACCATCTTGACTTCTAGGGAGCATCTGGCTGTACTTCTTCCAACACAGATGTTTGGTTTTTGGCAGCCCATGTTACTTTTAAATTTCCTTTCCGACACCATAATTCAAATGCATCAGTTCTTCTTATGGTCTTCCTTATTCATTGTCCAACTTTCACATGCATAACAGACTATTGAAAATACCATGGGTTGGATCGGGCGCACTGTAATCCTCAAATTGACATCTTTTTGTTCTTTAACACTTTAAAAAGGTCTTATGCAACAGATTCACCTAATGTAATATGTCATTTGAGTTCGTAACTGCTGCTTCCAGTTGATAATTGATCCAAGCAAGGTACAGTCTTTGAGAACTTCAATCTTTCCCCATTTATCATGATGTTATTTATTGGTCCAGTGGTGAGGATTATTGTTTTCTTTACATTGAGGTATAACCCATACCAAAGGCTGTGGCCTTTGATCTTCATCAGTACATATTTTAATTCCTCTTCACTTTCAGCAAACAAGATTGAATAATACTCTGTATGTGGCAGGTTGTTAATAATGAGTCTTCCTCCAAACTTGATGCCACATTCTTCGTATAATCCAGCTTCTCTGATTATTTGATCACCATAAAGATTGAATCATACCCTGGTGTAACCCTGGTTAAACAGAGACCATTTATTTTTGGTAGAGTGAATCTATGTATATATTTTATCTTTTGATGAGTGTTTCAGTATTACAAGTCAAGGATTGAATTTTTTCTTCAGTTCTTTCAGCTTGAGAAATGCTGAGAGTGTTCTTATTTTCTAACTCTAGTTATTTGCACATTTCTTTATAATACTTGGATTTGCTTTCTTGAGCTGCCCTTTGACATTTTCTTTTCATCTCTTTTACCTCCTCATTTCTTCTGTTTGATTTAGCATCTTTATGCTGAAGAGTAAGTTTCAGAGTCTCTTCTGACATCTATTTTGGTCTTTTTCTTTTCCTGTCTTTTTAATGACCCTTTGCTTTCTTCCTGAATGCTATTCTTGGTGTCATCCCACAACTCTTCTGGTCTTTAGTCATTGGTGTTTAATGCATTAAATCTGTTCTTGATATGGTGTCTAAATTCAGTTTTATTTTGGCTCTTATGGATTTGTTTTAATTTTCTTCAGCTTTAACTTGAACTTGCATATGAGTAATTGATGTGCTGTTCCACAGTCTGCCCTTGGTCTTGTTTTGACTGATAATACTGAACTTTTCCACCATCTCTTCCCATTGTTGTTGTCAGGTGCCATTGAGTCAGAACCAACTCATAGCGACCCCATGCACAGCAGAACGAAACAATGCCCGATCTGGGCCAACCTCACTACCGCCGCCACACTTGAATCCATCAATGATGCCACCTGGCCAATCCATCTCGTTAGGGGTCTTCCCCTTTTTCTCTGACCCTCCACCTTACCCAGCATGACATCATTCTCCAGTGACTGTTCCCTCTGGACAATATGTTCAAAGTATGAGAGATGAAGCTTAGCCATCTTGGCCTCCAAGGAACACTCTGGCTGCACTTCTT